GACTACGCCTTTCATCTTGAACTCAACATCCTCCACAACTTCATTAACAAAAATAATTTATTCACAATATTTTTTCTCTCATATAAATATTCTCTTCTAACATTTTTTTCATGTTAAAAACTCGAATTTTCTCTCAAAATAATTGCACATCGTATAAATATACGAATTTCGAGAGATTAATTTGAGTAAATGTTGGAAAATTTCGTCATATAGTTTCGGACAATAATTTTTCTTTATTTCTGTACAATTGGAATAATTAATTTATAATTAATTAATTTAATAAAATTACAATTTGCGTTGATAAAGTGTTTAAAGGGAATGAAAATTTCAAGATGAAAGCACGATCACTATATTTTTCTTTCCCCATTCTTTCGCCCTTCCTCTCATCATCGCATCTACTGTCACTCGTGAAATTATCTCTCTCACTCGCTCTATTTTTCTGCCTTCCCTCGATATAATGACGGATTTATAATAATTTTTTTTCTCAAACCTCGAAAAGCAGAAAGTATTTCACCGGCTTTGTTTCATCGTTTCTCCGCGCCTGAGTTCCTATCTCACTCGTAATTTTTTTTTTTTTTTTTTTTTTATTTTTCTGTTACTTCACAACACACGCATTCTTCCGCAATGATCCCGGGGTCGAAGAGGAAGAATAATTCTTTTTTCCCTCGCAAAAGAAAGCAAAGAAAAACCTTTTCAAGTTTCTTTGATGAAAGCTTTTCAAGTTCGATAAAAATTCCTTTTTGGAAATTTGAAAAAGGAATTTTTATCGAACTTTAAAAAATGTTTTCATCAAGATTGGAAAAAATCAAGAAAGTAGAAAAAATTTAAAGGCCTCATTGCCGATTTCAAATAAAACCGAGTCTTGCCTATGTGACAAAGACTTTGTTTTTCATTCAAGTCTTAAATTTCTTTTCAAATTAGAGATTAGTCTTCGCTTTTTTTTGTTTCAACAGTTTCCTTTCATTCCCGTCCTCGCGGCCATTCGTCCAAAAGTCACTCGGCCTTATATTCGTAACGCGCTCGCACTTTTCGAAACTTGTCACATTTATTATTTTTTTTTTTTTATTTTTTTATATCATTTATCTTGATTTTGTCTCGATTTATTTAAAAAAATACTGAATTAACCAAGCTAAAATCACAGACTTGCTGGTCTTCATTCTACCAGCGGGTTTGTACAAATTCTTCCTGAAAGGACTCTATGCATTATGTTACAACGTGTTTTTTTATAAGTATGTATATATAATGTATATATATTTATAATAATTACAATTCGTTCAAGAAATCCATATGCTCGCATTTATCGCTTTATGTAACATATATATGTATAATCAGCAAATTATTAATACGCCTGGTGTGTTTTTTTGTGGTCGTGCGTCAGTGTGTAAACTGAAAATAATTAAAAAATTGCTTTTATATCAATAAGCAATCATTCCTTTTAACATCGATGCTTCTCTAAAATAACTTTAGAGAAGCATCGAAGAGAAAAGAAATGCATTTTCTTGAAATTATAAAAACATTTCATCTGCGCTTTACAATAATTTTTTTGTGCGCTCGCTGTGCTCGAAATTGATCACAAAAAAAGAAAGTAAAAAAAAACAATACAAATAAACCTGAAGCGACGAACGGCACCGACTTTCAATTGTTAACGTTGAGATTTTTTGATGACGAACTTAACATTGATGATGGATTTGTAAAGAAAACTTGTTCCTTTCAATCGTTCATCATTAATCTTAAGAATATCGATCAACACCATGAGATTTTCGTTTCGTTCAATCTTTTTTCTTCGTTATAATAGCGAGTGTCTCTGTCACAGGCGACACTGCAAAAATCTTTCATTCTCGTTGTCAACGTTTTTCGTAAATAAAAACCCATAGCGAAAATCGTCCCCGAGTGCACGGTCTCACCAAATATTTCTTACATTTTTTTTTTTTTTTTTTTTTGAAATTCAGATTCAAAAGCAAAAATATTCAATTTTGTTTGTAAAAATACAAAAAAAATAATTTTGTACTTTTAAGTAATTTCGTCGTACTGAGGACGGTATTAATTAAACCTGAGACAGGAGCAAAAAATAAAATGCATGGCGCAATTATCGTTCTGTGTATGCGCGCAGAGTTGCAATTTTATACGCGAAATGCAAAAAAAAATACATGGAAATTTTTTGCGTTTCGCGTTTTATATTTTTTATTCGCTATGTAAATACAACATAATGCTGGTCCCACATATACGAAACGCGCACGTATCGCGTAGACGCGTTACGCGCGCGTATACTCAACGCGCAGACGCAGATCGTTAACAAACTCAAAAAGGAGAAAAGAAATTTCTTTTCATCTTTCTCCCCTCTCCTTCCATTGCTCATGCGCAATGCATTTTTTCGACACTTCTGTCTGGTGTTCACTGAAAAATGGAGAGTTTACAAACAAAAGAGAAAGCTTTCGCTGGGAGTATTGATTTTCGGTGCACCGTGCGCCCGTGGCAACCAAATGAAACGTACTTCCGAATATAAATATATATACCTTCACATACATGCATATATGTATGCGTGTGAACAAATACGTGCGCCGAACACGATGGCAGGATTGAGATCACATTTTATATTTTATTTATTTTATTTATTTCATTTATTTTATTTATCTTTTCAATAATCAGGTGATGATCGACCTTACGTCGCAGAAGCGAGGGATAAAGTCAAGATCGTCGGAAAGTGGTGGAAAAAATCAATTGTGTGGTTGCCATCGTGTTGAGAGACACGTATGCACCCGCGTCTGGACATTAGGTTGTCGCATACGGAAATGACTTCTGTCTGATTCACATTGGAAAACGAATGCCTAAAATTTATTATTTTCTTTACATTTCAGAAAAAAATTCTCTCTCAATTGAAATTAGTGAATCGTCAGTTGTTTATTAATTCCTTGCTTCACTATCACTTTTACTTTACAAAGGCAGTTTTTCTTTTCCAATTTAAATATTATTCTGAAATAGTAATTTTCAAATAAGTGCGTCTTCACTAAATTTCAATCTAAAAAGTTTTTCAAATTTTGAGAAACTAATGAAATTCAATATTAAGCATTTGTTTTCTTTTGTTTATTTACCTTTCTTTGCATTTGCACATAAACATTCACGTCACTCACTCATTTTGCTCTCATTTTCTCCGTATTCTTATTATAATCACAGACGTGGTTTTACTAATTGCTACGTACAAGAGCCTTTTTTTTTTGTTCTTCGACGTCGAGCGCGATAAGTTTCTTTCTCTCTTTTTCTTTTTCTCACTTTCATACTTCCCTAATATAGAATCTGCAAAACTTCCGATTTTCTAAATCGAGAAAACATTTTGTCTTATTGCCCTTTTACAGTCAGACGTGACTCATAAAAATCTTATTGAATGAGAGAAGGGACAATTTTTATATACAAATTAGAAGAAAAAAAAAATATCAATAATAAAAATATTTAATATTAAAAAAAACAATTAGACAAAAATTAGTTTCTTTATCTTTAAATTTCGTTTTGAATTTCAGTATCTATTTTGTTTAGAAAATGTTGAAAAAAATTGCCCTTCATTTTGTTTCTCGCTTTGTTTAAATCTCATGAGTAGACATTTTATTGCAGAAAGGCGATAATGTAGAATCTCGAAACATAAAAATGTGCTTTGACTAGCTCTATATTTGCAAATAATCGCAAGGAAACGATATTTAATTGGATATTAATTATCACTAAATTCTGAGACAATCGAAAGTCTTGTAAAGCGTTATTTTTTTATCACAATCTTTGTCCAAACTCTCATGCACTCGGACAATTTATTCAATTGCCTTTAATTAATGAAACTAAAGTTGCCTATGTCGTTGAAATTAAATAAAAAAAATTATTTTTCACTCATTTTTGTCTGAATTGAAAATTTGCTCTTTAAATTTAGTAAAAATGTTTACTAATTTGAATTAGTCACTGACTTTTTGCTTCTGAATTAGTAAATTAATTTAAAAGCAAAAAGTCAGTCACTAATTCAAATTAGTAAACATTTTTACTAATTAAAATTTAGTGTTTAATGTAATGAAAATAATTTCTTTTTACAGAAAATTATTTGCTTCTTATTGAAGAAAAAGAATTCTTTTTGCATCGACAAAAACGTTGGTAACTTTACTTTCATTTTAATTACATTGATACTCTCTCTCTCTATATATTTATATATAGAAACATAAAGACAAATAAGTAAATACCAACGAGCTTTGTTTTTCATTATTGATTTCTCTTTTCTAGTATTGTAAATATTCGTCGAGAAAAAGTTGACACAGCTAGATATATAAATAAATATAATTATTTATTTATTTACATAAAGAGACAGAGAGAGGAAGCGATTGTCTACCTTGGTTAAAAAAAATTAGTCTCATTGTTTACACTGATTATTGAAAAAAAGAGACAAAGATATTTAATATTTAAAAAATGATGGATGACAGGTTATTGAAGATAAAATGCAATCTTTGAATAATCAACACGAAAAGAGATAATCAGTGTATAGTAACGAAGCTCGTGTGCATTTGTGAAAATTACCAAAGCGTTCTGGTTCACCGTTTTCGAGGCTCCTGATTGAAAACCTCGTAAAGATTAAATATTAAACTATTCCCAAAAATCTGATGAATATTCTTAATTTGGAATATTCGATTTTTAATTCAGGTTTCGAATCAAATATCCTAAAATTGATCGTAAAGAAAACTGAAGAAAATTTAAAAAAAAGTAATCTTACCTCTGTAAAAAAATAGAAATGAAACCTTGTTCCCTGGAAGGTTTTAAATGATAAATAAATTTTGTTATTGCAAGACAAAAACAACTTGTTGCACAGAAAAAATAAACACTAATATTTACACAATTGATTGAATATTTATAAATATACTCATTTCACAAAAAAAAGGCTTTTGCGAACTTTGTAACACTAAGAGACATTTTTCACAAAATTGGTATTCATTGTTTAATTGATTGAAAACCTTTTCGCAAATTCACTGATTCACACAACAATCATTTTCTTCTCTCAAGTACACTGCAGATTTATTTCATGTAAAATCATATACTCTCTCTTTCATACACACAGATTAGCAACATTTCACTCTCTCCCTACTTATTTTGCCCAATTACTCTCCCTTCGCGAAGAAAATCACAGTTGTTTCAAAAGGATATAATATACACAATTTCCGGCGATAAGCGCGCACGCACGTAGTATTGCTATCAGTAGTGCTAGTGCTAGTGCGTGCACACATACGGCACTTACAATATACAACGTTCATATATATATGTACATATAAACGCGCATAGGTCAATTACACACGTAAATATATCGAAGCAGTCGATTCCTGTGGGTCTGAGTGTAAAATCCCACCGAGCGACGATGTTCCTTTTCTCTAGACAAAAATGCCTCCCCAGGGGAAGGCACCTTTGGAAATCCTCGAAAGATGATGACGAATAACTGGAACGGTGTATTAAGCAGCACGAAGAGGAAGGATCGTGAGAAGGCAGGTAGGACAACGATAGACACACACACTGTCTTCTCCCTTTGTGTACATTAAATTTTCGTTTCTTGGTCTTCGGGGGAAAAATAAATGTTGGGATGCTGAGATCATAAAGAAGTTCCTAGGCCGAGCTGCAAGCTCGTCTTCTCCGGGAGTTCCGCGCTCGAGTCAACAAGAGCGAGGAGGGGAAGAAGACGTTGTTGTTGTTGTTGTTGGCAAATGATTAGCGACGAGATCGCACGGCTGAGGAGATGGATGGCGAGAAGGGGATCCTGTTGGGGATCGTTACACGATCTGAGCGAAGATCGGGACGGAAACTGGAGTGCGTTTCCGCCGCGGTGCTTCGGAATGGAGTTGTTCAACTGGACACAAATGCCGCGATTTGCTCGCTAAACTGAGGATACTCGAGGAGCAGCGAGTCCTTGCAGCTCTCGAATTGCTGCTGCTGTGGGTGGTGGTGTTGGATGTGCTCCTGGAACTGCTGACTCTGCTGCGGGCTGTCTTCCTGCTCGACGACGGCCGTCTTCTCGTAGAGGACGCAGATGGAGCCGTTCTCGCCGATTCTGTAGGACACTTCGGCGGGATCGATCCACATGGTGAACTCCGTCGGGAAGAGGCTGTGGAGCACGGTGGGCACGAGGCCGACGTTGGCGCCCGCCTGGGCGATCACCGGGTCCATCTTGCCGTTGATCCTGATGCAGCGGTAGCCCGAGCCGCGGTTGGGTCTGTCGGGGAACCAGTGGTCCCTGTACCGTCTCTTGAGCACCTCCGTCAACGACGTCTTGAACAGCTCGAGCTGCCGCTCCGTCACCTGGCCCGTCTGCATGCGCAGCAGGTCCACGAGAAAGTCTGCTGCTGAAACGATTTCCAGCCTCATTGTCACTGGTTCGTGATGGAAAACAGGATGAAGTGTTTCTGCCTCTTCTACATACAACCCAGTTCCACTTGTCAGTGACGGTCCTCTCATCCGCCACCTCTCGAGACACGCACTTCACACTTCCCTCGAATTTCGAAACTCAAAAACTCTTCTCTCTCTCGTTTCACACACGACAAAATGGCGTCGTCGTCGTCGTCACCTCGCAGCGATAGACTCGACCAGCGCGACGTCTCCACTCCAGCGGCCCAGCCAACTTTTTTTGCCCTCGGTCTCGACGTTTCTCCAACCAAAACTTTCTCGACACTTGTCACTTTTTCCTCTCTCGCGAATCCTAATCAATATTTTTCAACTATCGCGTTTTCAAGCCTCGTTCACTACTAAAATTACCAACTGGAAACATTAAGTCCAAGCCGATTTTCTTAACGCGACACTGTAAGACACTCCAAACTCGCGAGAACCGCACCCTCCGACAGGCGATGACTTTCTAATGGTAGCAGACCTCGGTTTCGATGGGGAAGCTTCGCCTCTTTGTTCACGCTCGGCGAGGTGGGGTGGCATCACTCGCAGCCAATGGAAGCGCCCAGCTGACGGTCATGTGACTGTAACGATGCGTCACAGCCACTGCGCAGTGTTAGTGTATGCCGCAGCTGCGTCCCGATTACAAGTATCAAGCCCTCGGGCCATAGCGTTTCCCAGGCAGTGGCGCTCAACCTGGGGATCGCTGCGCCGTGTGTTCGTTGATAGCACACAACAGAGGAAAAAAACAACACGCGTCACGCCACCGAGGACAACGCTCGACTGACTGTCGAGTACTTCGGGGGGAGGGAGAATCGACTGGTCTTAGCTCAAAATTACACATGACGACAGTCAATTCAGCACTTTTCTTTCAAGAACCATTATTATTTTTATTAAATTTTCACCATTTTAAATATAAAAAAATTTCCGATGTCAATGTTCAAGCAACTGAACTGTATTAGAGGGTTCTTATTAGATTCATAATTTACGGTTTGAAAGCTAAATTTTAATTGAAAAAAAAAATTTAATTTTAATTCTTTTAAAATGGCTACGCAAACAATTTTATAAAATTAACAAGTAATTAATAGTATAAAAGTGATTAACAAAGAGATTATGAACAAAAAATCATTTCACGATTGTTGTACGTGACAAGTTTCATCGACACTGTACGATAAACAATCAAGCTTTGTTAAAAAATATACACGAAATAAAATTCGAACACCGCTAATGCATTTGATGTACAAACATAAACGTAAAAGAAATATAATATGTGACGCTCCACGGTGAAAGGAGCTCCCAAATAACATTAGGCACAGTTTTCTGTGTACACAAAGACTGAGACTAATGTTTTTTGGGAGATACATATAGGTCCCTTTCTAACTGTGATGCGTCACATATGATGTCTAATATTGAAAGCAATAAGTAGAGAAACAGATTTTTTAAAAATTTTAATATTTCTTTTTATGTTTGTATATTAAATGAATTTCATATTGGTGTGCGGAACCTGCGATTCAGTGCGAGTGCAACTTGAATGTATCTGATTTTTTTTTAATTTCTTATATAAAATTGTAATGATTATCAATCTTAATTTTTTAACTATATATACTTTCCTCAATCAAACTTTCTTTTTTAAAATTTTTACAAATGCTTTGGCAACACTGTATACTATATTAAAAATACACTACTATATATAGTATGCAGGCTTCGCACTCATCTATTAAAACCTACTATTTACCACTTTTTTTAAGTTATGCTAATATTATTTGAGTACTTTTTTAGACTTCAGCCACTAAAAGCTACTATTTCTGTTTTTTTTTTTGACAATTTCCACTACTTTAAATTCGCTAACACTAGAAATCAAAAAACTATAATCAAATTCTTTAAAACGATTCAATTATTATAAAAAAATATTAGAAATTAAATTATTTTCAATATCTAGTATTTTCATAAATTTTCGTAAAAGAAATGAATTATTTGAAAAAAAATTGATTAAACTCTTATAAAGAATTCAATTATTTTCAAAAATAACAAAATTTCACAAAAGAATTCAATTATTTAAAAAAAAATTTATAAAATTCAATTATTTTCATAAATAATAAAATTTCCACCTGAATTCAATTAATCTAGAATAGTATTTACAAAAAAAAATTTCGAAATTTCACATTAATTCAATTACTTTCAATAATAATAATATCATTTTTCATGGAAATTCAATTATTAAAAAATTTTTTTTTTAATCATAAAAATTCAATTATTGTTATAAATAATAGAACTCATCTAAAAATTTCAATTATTTATAATACTATTTTAAATTAATTAATCGAAAAATTCTATTATTTCCACAAAAACAGTTTTTCAAAAAATTCAATTATTTAAAATTAAATTTTTATAATATTCATTATATTTCGAAAAAATTAATTATTTAAAACAATGTTTATAAAATTCTTATGAAGTATTAAATTATTATTTTCAAAAATAACAACATTTTTCACAGAAATTCAATTCTTTTTGAACATTGTAATAAAATTTTCTGCAATAATTCAATTATTTTCTCATAAATAATAAAATTGTTTCCAGGAATTTAATTATTTTTGAAAATTTTAATAAAATTCTTAGCAACTATTCAATTATTTTCATAAATAATAAAATTCATCGCAAGATTTCAATTATTTTTAATTCAATTTTACAGGAATTGCTCAAAAAATTTAATTATTCTTAAAAATTTGATTTCAAGTCCTTGAAAAAATAAATTATTAAAAAAAATTTTTTTTTTAAATTCTTTGGAAGAATTCAATTATTTACAAAAATATTAGAATTTTTCACAGGAATTCAATTATTTTCAAATATGTGACGCGATCTGAAGAAAGGGACCTTAGAAGCAAAAAATTATAGGTTATGTTTGCAATTTTTTAAATGAAAATACAAAAAAAGGATCAACTGTCAATATAAATCATTAAAGTTTAAGTCTTCATTAAAACTAAAATATTTAATAAACACTGATTTTAATTCGAAATAAGTAAAAAGAAACTTTCAAACAAGAAAAAAGTAACTCTAACCCAACCTTAAAATGATTTGCTTCTAAGGTCCCTTTCTTCAGATCGCGTCACATATTTTTTAAAAAATGTTCGAAAGAAATCAATTATTTTAAATACAATTTTAATTAGATTAAAAAAAAATTCAATTATTATTCTTTTAGATTAATTTAATAAAGTTCTTCCCAAGAAATTCAATTATTTACATAAATAATTCCTGGAAAGAATTCAATTATGGCGATAAATAATAAAATTACTCCCGAAAATTCAATTATTTGAAACATTTTAAATAAAATTCTTTGCAAAATTCAATTGTTTTCATAAATAACAATATTCAATTATTTTTAAAAATAATAAATTTCTTCTTGGAAATTCAATTATTATATAAAATTCTAATAAAATCTATTTGTAAAATTGAAAAATTTGTTCCAACGAAAGATTAATTATACTTTTGGAAAATTTTCTCAATTCAATTGCTTTTCAATATCTACAATTTTCAACAAATTTTCAAATAGAATTTGTATAATTAATTAAAAAAATTGTTGTAAAAATATTCGTATGAATTCAATTATTTTTATGAATAATAAAAGTTTTTGAGGAATTCAATATTATTTAAATTATAATTTGCATAAAATTAGTCGAAAGAAATCAATTATTTAAAAATGTTTATAAAGTATTCTTCGCAATTTAAATTATTTTAAGAAGTGTCTAAAACGAGTTTTTTTTTTGTCGTCAAGTTTAATTTTTCGATAGCTACTTTTTTACTACTTTTTTTAGTTTGAAAGCTACTTTTTGCTACTTTTTCAAATTAATTATGGAGTGCGAAGTCTGAGTATGCTATAATGTATTTAAAATGTACATAAACATTAAATAATTCAAATAAATTTAGAAAAATAAATAAAGATAGTTAATATATTGAATAGAATACATATAGAGAGAAATTAAAAAAGAATAAAATAAATAGTACCTATAATAATGTTAAAAATTGTCATTAGGAAGCGTTGACAAATTATGTCACGCAATTTTTTGAGATTTTTAACCCCCCTCCCCTCCTTCTGTCATGCAATTCCACATGTGAAAAATACATTGTGTCACGTTTAATAAAGACCCCCCCCCCACCTCCAAAAACGTGATATCATTTGTGAATGTTTCCTTATGAAAGAGAAAATATAATGCGATGCAACTTTTTGTTAAAAAATTTTCTTTCAGAAATCGAAATTATATACAAGTTTCTCTATATATATATATTTCTAAAAAAAGCTAATAAAAACCTTAAAAAAATTATGAATAAAAAATGTAAAATATTGAAAATTTTGCATATTTATTGTTTCCCAATCACAATTTTGGTTACGAAATTCTAAATTTCTTTAACAAAAAATATTTGAATCACACACCGAAAAAAAATGTTTTCAATAAATTTTAGAGAATTCCTCTTTTTATTGCAGCATTTTTTCCTTTTACACATGCCTATAGTTTTCCTTTCTAATTGAGAGGATTTTCTTCTTTCTAGTATAAATTTGCTTAAGTTTTAGAGGAATAATTGTAATCAAAGAAGAATGATTAAAATTCGTCTTTTAGTTAAAAAACTTTCAAATATAAACAAAAAAGCCTCTTTTTTGTATAGATGAATATATTCGTATATTGAAACTAAAAATTTAAAAATAATTGTTAGGCGAATTTCCTTTTCACTTTGAGATTTTATTTTTTTCGGTGAATAAATTTTTTTCAGAGTAAAATATTATTAATATTAATGATAAATAGTAAAATAACAATAGTTTCAATCATATTATTACTTAATTAATAAAATAATATTAGAGCTGTGCAAAATAATTCGAACCGAACAGTTCGAATTTTTTCGCTTAGTTCGAATGTCAAAAATTATTCGACATTCGAGTTACTACAAAATTCGAATAACCGAACCGAGTTGTGTTCGGTTTTAGTACGCTAAAATGTCGAATTCTAAAATTCGATATTTCAATCGTCTAGTTCGAATGTCGAAAAACCAACATTCGAACTAGCCTAGTTTTCGACATTCGACGCCCCAAAACCGAACAAAACTCGGTTCGGTTCGAATTTTTCACAGCTCTAAAAAATATATTTTTTAACAAAATTATATATTTAATATTGACAAAATTAAAATAATTAGTAATAATAATATAATAATTAATGAATATTAACGTAGAATTCCAAGAAATGAGCTCTGATCTTATATATATTGATTAATTTGAATTGTCAATGTAAAAGAATATATAGCTTATGAACTCTATGACTTTGTTCGACTGAGTTGAATAGTCAGTTACTCGTAAGCACTTGCATTTTAATTTAATTTATTTTTCAAACTGAGCAATGCCTCTTAATGACCTCTATTTATATTGTGTATGCTTATTATTTTGTCAAAAAAGAATTTTTAGTTTTAATGTCTATTCTGTTTAGTTAAGGGG